GTTATCCTCATTGTGTACAGTAGAATCATCTCTATCAGCATCAAATCGTTATCCTCATTGTGTACAGTAGAATCATCTCTATCAGCATCAAATCATTATCCTCATTGTGTACAGTAGAATCATCTCTATCAGCATCAAATCGTTATCCTCATTGTGTACAGTAGAATCATCTCTATCAGCAGTGTCAACATCAAATTATTATCCTCATTGTGTACAGTAGAATCATCTCTATCAGCAGTGTCAACATCAAATCGTTATCCTCACTGTGTACAGTAGAATCATCTCTATCAGCAGCATCAACATCAAATCGTTATCCTCATTGTGTACAGTAGAATCATCTCTATCAGTAGCATCAACATCAAGTTATTCCCCAGTTCATCAAATGTAGTTCAGATCACAATCAAATTTGTTTAAGCTTGTTTATTAATCTGAATTTGCTAATAATTCATAACCAATTTTGTAATTTAAACATTAACACACTGTCTTCAATTCTCATTTACAAATATTGGATGTTTATATAATACCACAATAACACTAAAAGATATCATATTAATGTGCCTGTAACATCACTAGCCTTGGTAAATTAAAATTAAAGCATTGGAATCATAGCAGTCAATAGGGTCACACAAAGTCATCTGTGTGCCTTTTGGTGAATACAAACAACAGCTAATTACATGAGCAGTGAGCATCATGAGAGATTTGACAGGTGCTCTGATAAGTCCTCACAAAACCCATTTTACATGTGCTTACAAATGTCAGTGCCATGGTGCCCATCAAATATGAAGTAAAAGCCTGATAAAACTAATGCTGTTTACCTTTATAGATTTAAGTCTGTTCTTTTACAAAGTTAAGGTTGTCTGCCTTTATAGATTGAAGCGTGTGTTCTTTTACAAAGTTAATGTTGTCTGCCTTGATTGATTGAAGTGTGTTCTTTTACAAAGTTAAGATTGTCTGCCTTTATAGATTGAAGTGTGTGTTCTTTTACAAAGTTAGTGTTGTCTGCCTTTATAGATTTAAGTCTGTTCTTTTACAAAGTTAAGGTTGTTTACCTTTATAGATTGAAGTGTGTTCTTTTACAAAGTTAAGGTTGTCTGCCTTTATAGATTTAAGTGTGTGTTCTTTTACAAAGTTAGTGTTGTCTGCCTTTATAGATTTAAGTCTGTTCTTTTACAAAGTTGGGAAAGCTAGCATCTGTATAACTCCGTGAAGATTTCATAGAATGAGCAAATCTTTTTCTGAAAGTTATGTTGGTAAAATACACTTTATTGGAAAATTATATCTTATCTATCATACTCTGAAGGATCTAAATGTAGCTGTAAAGCAATAAAACAAAATGAACCCAGATTTGAAAGGTCTATTATCTTTGGCTTTAAGAATAACTAGTGTGTAATTATCTGTTACAACGTGCAGTCATTCTAGAAATAAAAGATAATAGGTGTTTGTTTTTTATTTTACATTACATTGCTGATTTCACTAGTCAGCATTATCTTGCACTAAGACTAATCAGAGTCAGATTGTCTTGGAAAATTAACAAATAAATCTTTAGTAAAAGCACTGTATTAAAAAAACGTAATTGTTTGTGTACAACAGACCTTTAACACTTTACTGAAGATATAGAATTATAGTATATACTTTGATGGTTACCTTGAGAGTTATAGTATATACTTTGATGGTTACCTTGAGAGTTATAATATATACTGTGTTTGTTACCTTGAGAGTTATGGTATATACTTTGATGGTTACCTTGAGAGTTATGGTATATACTTTGATGGTTACCTTGAGAGTTATAATATATACTGTGTTTGTTACCTTGAGAGTTATGGTATATACTTTGATGGTTACCTTGAGAGTTGTAGTATATACTTTGATGGTTACCTTGAGAGTTATAGTATATACTTTGATGGTTACCTTGAGAGTTATAATATATACTGTGTTTGTTACCTTGAGAGTTATGGTATATACTTTGATGGTTACTTTGAGAGTTGTAGTATATACTTTGATGGTTACCTTGAGAGTCATGGTATATATGTTGATGGTTACTTTGAGAGTTGTAGTATATACTTTGATGGTTACTTTGAGAGTTGCAGTATATACTTTGATGGTTACCTTGAGAGTTATGGCATATACTTTGATGGTTACTTCAAGAGTTGTAGTATATACTTTGATGGTTATCTTGTAGTTACAAGGTTGGTCAAAAAGACCAAGCCTGTATACAGAGTATTAAACAGGACATTCATACCTGTGAATAAAGTAAAAGACCACGATTATCACAGGGTAGCAGATCATCTACTAAAACTGTCGTCCATCTACCATCTTTACACAGACGAACCTGGTAAGCCCCTTGTGGACATATTTCTCTGGTGACCATAACTTGTTCTACTAACTCTGGACGCTCTGCAAGCACAGCTAATGCACTTAGAAGCCAACAATTGCCTAGCACCCCTGTCAAAAACAAGAAGTTTACAATTACTACAACAATAAACTGTTTACTTATTGTTTAAATATTTTAAAACCAAACAGCACCCTATAAAACATGAGAAGTTTGTAGTTAAAACAACTATGAACTGTTTACTAACTATATTTGTACATATACACACACCAAAAAAACAACAATAACTAACACCACTATCAAAGAGAAGATGATCATAGTTATTCTAAGAACTTATGAGTAAAAGTGGAGAAGAATATATTAATAGTATAATATGTACTCAGTAAATAAACAGTTGTTGTGACAATGAACGTTTTATATTTGATAGGGGTGGTAGAATGATTATAACACAAGTTACAAGCCTCACACAATATAAACAGTATTGTTTATAAGAATAACTACATGACTGTAACACAAGTTACAAGCCTCACACAATATAAACAGTATTGTTTATAAGAATAACTACATGAGTGTAACACAAGTTACAAGCCTCACACAATATAAACAGTATTGTTTATAAGAATAACTACATGACTGTAACACAAGTTACAAGCCTCACACAATATAAACAGTATTGTTTATAGGAATAACTACACGACTATAACACAAGTTTTATAAACAATACTGTTTATATTGTGTGAGGCTTGTCAATAACTACATGACTGTAACACAAGTTACAAGCCTCACACAATATAAACAGTATTGTTTATAAGAATAACTACATTACTGTAACACAAGTTACAAGCCTCACACAATATAAACAATATTGTTTATAAGAATAACTACACGACTATAACATCCTCAAATTACTGTTGTGTAACTAACTAACAGTAGCTACGACTCAACTCTGAGGAATAAAACAGAATTACTTTATTTTTCTCCTACACTAACGTAATGTACGTGTTTATCGGAAGAAAGCCTCAGCTCTCAGACAGAGTTCAATGTCTAATCACATGCGTTATATAATGTTGTCATTGATCTAATTTTCTTGTCTATGGTGCAAGATAAAAATGTAGGTTTATTCCTTATCTTGTTATTACTATCTATAAAATGTAGGCTTTAATGAATTCTTTTTAGGAATGATAAACTCTATTAATTTTATGTTTAGCACAACTTTTATTTAGGTTTCAACTTCTATTTATTCTGGAGAATCTATCTAAATAATAGTAAAAAACAATATAAATTGTGATGTTTATCTTTAAAAACAATATACATATATTGTTGTGATGTTTATCTTTAAAACAATATATATATATTGTTGTGATGTTTATCTTTAAAACAATATATATACATTGTTGTGATGTTTATCTTTGTACACTTGTACACTGTCATTTATTGCAGTAGGCCTACTTTACAAATAACATTAACTAACATAAAACAAATCAACTTACTTGTACTATGTAACTCAATACGTGAGATAACAAATTCAAATACTTCACAAAAATACAATGACTGATTCAACTCTCTATCTTTTAATTACCCCTACACTCTCTGAACTATATCCTTCAACTCACCAGCCCTACTGTCTTATTTATAATCTATACTTTTTCAAGATATTATTGAGACTTGTTTGATCTTAAGGTTATGCACCCTCTAGTTAACAACTAAATTACACAAATTATAACCTTATAAATATGTTTTATTTAATACCTGTTGTAAGTTTGGGAGTTTAATTAGTAGAAATGTTAGGATGGTTTTATTTCTACTTTGAGAAATTTAAGGGTAACTGGCTAGACAGTGAAAGGCAGTAGAAGCTGAGACGTTGTGGGTGTGAGCACTCAGCTTTGTACCTTTATTTGATTTTTCATGATGGCTGACAAACTTAACATCAGTGTTTGGATTCTGACAGATAGATATGCCCAATGCATTGAATGCTATTATCACAGACATTATCCACTATGACAACAAATTGACATCCTGGACCAATAACAGTAATGTGATATAGTTTACAACTATATATATATAATGACAATAAGTTAACATTCTGGACTTATAATGGTAATGTGATATATAATGTCAATAAATTGACATCTTGGACCAATAACAGTAATGTGATATAGTTTATAACTATATATATATAATGACAATAAGTTGACATCCTGGACTAATAATGGTAATGTGATATAGTTTATAACTATATATATATAACGACAATAAGTTGACATCCTGGACTAATAACAGTAATGTGATATAGTTTATAACTATATATATATATATAATGACAATAAGTTGACATCCTGGACTAATAATGGTAATGTGATATAGTTTATAAC